GTTTTTTCAGGCGTTGGGCTGAGGCATCTGACCAGTCTACTGCGGGTGAATGAATTACTGACTGTCAGCTGGGCCATTTCCACTCAGGTTTAAGCACAGGCATTTTACTTGCCATTTGCCAGGGCCAAGAGCCTGCACACGCTGGGCACGTACGGCCGCTGGGCCGGCACGTGGGCGCGTTACCCGTTTGCCACCTGACGCAGCAGTTTGCTCAGCGGCGCTCGTCCACCCCGACGGGCCACGCTTCAGGACCAGGACCCATTCCACCCCCAAGGAACATCTCTGAGAGATGGGAACCTGTTTTTAAATGAAGCAACGCTTATCTCATGCATGCCACAGGTGTGATGTCATCCCCTCTGGCGAAGGAACGAGGTTGTCTGCAGCCTCCTCTGTGCAAAAATGCAGGAACTAAAGTTAACACGTCTCAGACTTTGTTAAAATACGGTGATAATTAAGAAGTATAATTACCACTACAAAGTTAATTCCTCTTTGAGCTCTTACAAACAAGTTTTTAATTTGCACCAAAAATTTACATTTCAGATTTCAAGTCAGCCATGAATGGCTAGGAGCTTGGCAGGGGACTCCAGGCGGTGGCTCGGGGCGGGAGCACTGTGGCTTCCCAGGAATGTCAGAGGCGACCGGTCACCAGCAAACCCCGGGCGCGCACAGGTAAGCGATAGGATTGCTTTAAACTGCCTCATCTGTTGTACAAGTGTGAAAATAATAGCCATGTCAGATAAACTTCTGCTTTTTATTAAAAAACCCCAACAACTTATAAGGTAATTGATTGCTTTCTTCTAGCCTTTTATTAGTTGTGATTAAGGAGATATAGTAGCCCTGTTTACACAACTCTAACAAGTCAGGACCTGCAGCACGTTATTGGCTTGCGGCCCACAACTTGCAGTCCATTCTCAACAGAATCAATCTGAAGTTGAAAACATCCCCTGTAGGAAGCGTACACGTCCCTGCTTACACAGGAACAGCAAAACAGTAATAACTTCAGGTCCTGTAAGTCGCAAGTTCAACTCGGAGAGCTCAGCCCTGACTTGTCATTGCTCTCAGCATGTTGGTGATGAGATCAGAGCGCTTCACCAGGGACTCATACCTTCAGCCTGACAAGGGACACAGGTGAGCATGTTCCACTTCACTGTTATGCGCAGCTCAGGCTCTGCAGAAATAAATCGAGAGCTCCTCGCTGTTTAACATGCAGTCAAAGCACCGCCAATCTAAAATGGCTGATCAGTAATACTTTAATTGCAGTTTCATAGAAACAAATTGCTGTTTAATTGCAATAAGCTCTTCTGTGGCTTAGCTGGACTGACAATAGGCATACACCTGGTGTAAAAGTAACAAGCAGCAGCAATGGTTATCTGGTACTTCGTGTACAGGAGGCTCAGGCAGTGAAATCAGACCTGGAACACGTAATTTCACACTGAAGAAATATAGTACTTAAAAAAATATATATATACACATAAATGTTCTGATCTCAATTTTATTTGCTATTTTAATAGAGCTGTTCAGAATGTAGATCCTTGCAAAAAGCTTCGCATTTGACATATAACTACCAAAGAATTTGATAAAAAATTTAAATTAAAATGATCTTTTGAAAAGCCTGACAGTACTTGATAGCAAGTCATACTATGCCTGTATGTGGTTTTTTGGGTGGTGTTTTTGTGTTTGGTTGTTGGGGTTTTTTTTGTATTTGCCCTAAAATTAGATGATGCAAATTTTATCAGTGTTAACTAACAGGGAAAAAGGGAGGCAAACTCAGTGTAGTTAATATTCTAAAGATGCAACTTAATTTCATAGGCTTCATTTTGGTAAGACATTCTCATTTTATATTTCATAAGATACTGCATAACCTGTTAAAATATTTAAACATAAATCATGTAGGACTGAAAAGACCGTATCTTGTTGCAAACAGAATTTGGTTTGGAAAGGCTTAATGTCCCAGTGCCTGCCAGGATGCGTAAATCTCATAACTAGACAGCTGGATAGGTAAAAACATTAAACCCATTTAGAGGGCAATCTTTTTACAAAATTGTTTCATTAATAAGAGTGACAATTTATATGATTGAGACGTTTAGATGCAGTATAGACAGACCATTTTATCCAGGTTCACGAGGATGATTTCAGATTAGTAATATTTCCTTTGATTTTTTTTTAACAGCATTCATTTTTGAAAGTGAGGGAAGCTCTTACTGAATGATTGTTTGTACGACTTTTCAGCAGCACTAAATGCAGAGGGTGCATTTCAGCCTGTGTAGCAAATGCATGTGATAAAAGGTGAACAAGTACATGTTTGTCCTTACAGCTCTCCTAAAAAAGTGATTTTTCACATAAGGACAAATCTAAGTGGTTCCAGTAGCCTTCTGTCCACACCTACTGTCCCCATTAGAGCCTGTTTTATTGTCTGAAATGCCTCTGGTTTCAAAAAAGTGTTTTACCTAAAGCAAGAATACTACTTAAATATGTTCTATTGTATATTCATAGCTCCATTAGTCCTCCTCCAATTTAGCACATCAAAGCAAAGGCTTCATCACTTGCGTGTGGATTATGCTAACATGAGTGACATTTGTAATCTTATAGGTCTGCAACTTAAGAAATGCTTTTAAAGTAAGCTATTAAATAGGTAGCTGTGCTTTACAAATGAATCATATAATAGTTTATTTAAAGCTGTTAATGAACTTCAACCTCTACATCGCTAAATGCTATACTACATTACTTACTAGAAGTTATTAGCTATCTTCTTAGCACTTCTGGGTTATATTGGACAACCAAAAATCTGTACATGTTAGATTTAAACACTGTACCTTGAGTGCTTATACTGAAAGAATATAAAAAGATGTCTACAGTCTCACTAATACTTGAATTCCATATTCATATGACTTCAAGTGTCTTTTCAAAGATATTGAAGCAGCACAATTTGCAGGACTTTACCTAAAGACTTTAATGCCAGATCAAAAAGCTTAGAAACTTATTTTAAAAATATGTAAGTGCATTTAATTAAAAATTCATACATAGCTTCAGTCATTTTATTGCTTTATATGTTATGCAAGTGTTCTTTTGTTTTCACCGTCTGATACTTTACATTATGACATTTTCTTTTCTCTGCAACAGTCCTATTTTTCCCCAAGCACTGAAGTGTTAAAAGAAGAAATTCAGCAGACCTCCAATATACTAGAGGTCAAGAAGTAGCCTCTGAAAAAAAAAAAATCTGCTGTTTGTTGGTTGTTTAGCCAGACAAATCTATAAATCAGCATTTTGCGTATGGGCATCACAACCAAAATAAAGGGAGCTCACTCTGTATCTAAGCACGCTGAGCAATGAACACCTTCTCAAAAATAGAATTTAAAAAGAAAACACAATCATGATGTATTTCAACTGTATTAGTCTCCTATAAAAGTACAGTAGTTGTTAATATTGATTTGTTATTAATTGCAGCAGAGGCACATTCTACGTGCCAGCAGTTTCCTGACTGAAGGCATACAATGCACAGCCAGAAAGTCACTTTAGTATTCTTCCTATAAACCTGAAAAGTCAGAATTTTTTGTCAAAATTATTCTGCACAGCTCTACCTCCGAGCAGAAGATGGGAAAAGCCCACTAAATGAAGCTGCTCCCTTTCTAAGCTTAGGGGAGACTGTGTTGCTTTGGGGGGGAGGTGGTTTTTGTTTGTTTGCTTTCAGAGAAGAGATCGTATTTGAGCTTGGTTAGTTCTTGGAAATAGCCCAGAAAATGTGTTTTTCTTTCCTTAAGGTTATCAGTGTTGAAAAGTTAAGTCTCTTACCGCAGCAAACGCGACTTTATGTTGTTGAGATCAGAATAGCCATTGTATTCCTGTTTACGAGCACTCAATTCTAGTGCTCAGCATAAGGTACAGGCCTTTTTGTTGGTTTTTCATTTTATTATGCTTTGACCTCCTACGGTACATACATACACTCTCATGCTTGCACACTCACAGACACATGCACACCCTTAGCACAGACGATTCTGTGGAAAGGAGCTGGAAAGAAAGAGACCACAATACCTATATGCGTACCATAATTCACTGCAATATGGATTATAATATACTTGCTATTACCAGAATTAAGAACCTCAATGAAAAATAAAGATAATTTTGAAGTAGTGCTCTGTATCCTTGCCAAAAGTAACACCGTTAAGTAGTTTAACGGATTCTTTACTGGCATAAGACAAAAAACCTGTCCAAACCAAAAAGCTACTTTTAAAGATAATTGACAATTAAGGTAATGACTACGTAAGATATACTTTCAGAATAATGCAGCTTTGAAAAAAAAAAAAAAAAAGCAAAGCTTCTAAAACCCATACTCAAATCAGTGTTGTTTGTTTTACTTTTTTATTATTTAAATACACCATACTAGAGCAAATGTCTCTGAAAATATCACAAATAAAAGATTTTTCTTCATTCAGCAAATTAGAAGTAGGTGAAAATTTCTACACAGTAGCTGCTATGAGCTTGACTTTTTTTTTTCTTTTTTCTTTTTTTTTTTGCCATGGAAGTAGCAACATTAGGACAAAAACACTTACATGCATACATACATTGTATTTTACAGAGATACAATAAAAGTGTTTGTGATAGAATATCACAAAAGCCACATCTTTATCTCATGTTCAGCTTGATTGAAACACATTTCCTTACAACACTTAAATATACAAAGAGCAAATAGAATGTTGTTAAGGTAAAACACAGGGTACAAACTGGCCAGTGCCCTGCTAATTGTTAATGAGGGTAGAAAGCAGATTTCAATGCTTCTTTTAATTAGCTTCATTAGTCATCTTCCCCGCCCGC